AAATTTGTTGAGAAGGAAAGGCTCACGGGAAGAGACGGAGATGAACAGAGAGCAGGTTCCAGGCTCCAATGTCCAAGATTTAGGCACAGTCAGGATGAGGCAGGTGGCGGAAGTGAAGCAGGTGGGGTAGGATTTTGCACAGATGGACCCTGAGGTCATAATAACTGATCCCAGGGCAGAGGCCATCTGTTTGTCTGCCCTCTGCCCCAGTTCATGCATCCTGGCTAATGTGAGCAGCTGGTGTCTGGCCAGGTGTGTGCGGCCAGCAGGGAGACAGGCTGGACTCTACAGGTGCTGGTGCTGGTGGGACCCCAGGCAGAAGGCAGGGACCTCCAGAGGATGCCACCATCTACGAGGCCTGCCCAGGCTAGGAGGAGGGATCCTTTGCTGTGATGCCAGTGTCTCTCTCTTTTACTTTTTTGTTTTTTATTTTGAGACAGGGTCTTGCTCAGTTGCCCAGGCTAGAGTGCAGTGGCGTCAGCCTAGCTCACAGCAACCTCAAACTCCTGGGCTCAAGCAATCCTCCTGCCTCAGCTTCCTGAATAGCTGGGGCTACAAGTGTGTACCACCACACCTGGCTAATTTTTTCTGTTTTTTATAGAGACAAGGTCTTCCTGTGTTGCTCAGGCTGGTCTCGATCTCCTGGCCTCATGCCATTCTCCCATCTCAGCCTCTAAAGGACTAGGATTACAGGCATGAGCCACCACACCCGGGCCCAATGTCTTTTAAGATACCCGATGGCAGATTCCCTTTAACACTACAAGCCAGGTACACAAGCCCCCAAGTGTTAGAATAAACAAACATAAGGAACATAGACTGACATGGACCAGCCCTTCCTTCAGAGTTGACCTTGACGGTAGGGAGCAGAGTTTCCCAAACTGGTGTCGTGAGGAACTCTGCTCCCAGGAGCTGTGTCACCAGGAAGTTCCATGGGAAATACTGGGTGGAACCAAGTCAGACAGGCCTCTTTAGGCCGGGTCTTCTCAGAGCCTAAGCTATGCCGAGATGCACTGTGACCACGGGGACGTAGCGTGCAGCATTTCCTGAACTTGGTCATTCATGGCAACCTTGGAGAGATTTCTATCAATATCGAATGGGACGGTGTTCCGCAGAATCCAGTTTTGGAAAACACCCTCCAGAGTCACCCGCGTTGCCCATCCTGCTCTGCAGGGCAAGCCCTCGCTGCCGGTGCCTCCAGCGGCCCTGCGCATTCCTGCCTCCGCGAGCCGCTTTCCATGGGCCTGCCCCTGAAATGCCCTTCGTCTGCCTTCTACCCGTCTGCCTTCTTCCCATATGCTGTCCACCCTAAGTCCCCTCAAAGGCTTTCACAGGCCCCCAGTGGGACTTAATCCCTCGCTGCGCTGAGTCTCCTGGCGTGGACAGCAGTGGCCATGCTCCGTAGCTCGGCCGGGCCGGGCGGCTGCTGCTCCAGGACTGTTCATTTGGTCAGTTCCGGCCGTGGCCTGTTCACGGCTGCAGCCGCGTGGGCTGGCGACACCCTGTCGACAGGTGTGAGAGGCACGCCTCCTGGCCGCCTTCCCTCCCCTGCGTCCCCCCTGCCCAGTTCTTCCGGTATAAAGCACCCCCACCCCACCCCCACCCCCCCGCTGCCGTCAGGAAAGAAATTTCTCCACTGGGGAGGCCATTCCCTTCCTCTGCTCTTTAACATGCAGGGAGCCTGGGCAAGAGGGAGGGGAACCAGCTGATCTATTTACATGTTCCCTTCCTCTGGAGTGAAACCAGGGGCATTTTCTTATTTAATTTTTAATGCCCTAAATCAGATGATGCCCGATGCGTTAACCTCTGTCACTCCAAATGGAGTTGGCCTAATAACCGCTGCGGCAGGATCGATTTTCCCTCCGTCATCTCATAAGCATACGTCTTGGGGATCTGTCCTCTGAGAGAGCCCAGGAAAGTCCCATTAAAGTTAATGGGGATGAGTTGCCCCCGTGTGGTGACGGCTCCTTTCTGGCGTCTCTTCGCCCGAGTGAAGTGTCAGAGACAAGTAGAAATACTTTTTCTAAAATCAATTCCTCAAAGGGCGGCCTAGGACTCGACCCCATCTTCAGGGTGCTTACGATCACGTCGGGGAGATAAAGTAAACATGCTGGAAGGATGTCAGTGCAACGTGGGAGGCGGTCTCGCCAGATGTGCGGCCCTGGCTCTCAGCTACGGGAGGGTAGCGTGCCTGGGCCGTGGCAGGCGCCAAGCTCTGCAGCGGGGTGAGAGGGGCCGGGGCCTGAGCTGCACCTTCAGTGGATGATGTTTGAGCACGCGGCGTGGGAGGCAGCCTGAGTAGGGCTGGGAGGGGAGAATGAGCGGGAGAGAAGTCCAGCCCGACCTGGGGAGGGAGGGGCGGGTAATGAGGTTGCATATTTTAGATGGGGTCAGGTTCAAAGAAGGGCTCCAGGGGTCAGAGAGGAGTCATTTCTTCTATCCTACTGGCTGGACATCCCTCTTGCCCTGCCCACTACCACAGAGACGGACTTGGCCTCGGATAGGGAACTTGCTGTCCCTTGCTGTCCAAGGCTAGGGTGTGACTCCCGGGGAGCCCTGGGCTCCGCAGACCCCACCACAGTCACTCTAGCGCAGTGAGGACTGTGGAGCCGGCTATCCGTGTAAGTGCCACCAGCTGGCTGCGTCCTCGTGCTCCCCCAACGCTGTCCACTCCCACTTCCTTTGTGCTCATCCGAACACCCAACACCCTCTCTGTGCTCTGGTTTCCGGGTACCTCACTGCCAGTGGCAATCAGGTAAACTGTCCTGTCTAGACTGGACTCGGAGAGAAAGAGATTTTCATGAAGATTTTAAAAGATCTCACAAATTATAGCAATGATCCAAGTTCCCTCTCTCTCAAATCACATGGATCAAAAGGGACCAGAGGAACAACCTCCTGCTGTTCAGGTGGCGAATCTTTTCATATTCTAAGCTTAGTAAGTTTGAAGATGCTGTCTGGGGGTCCTCTCAGGAGGTTGCTGCAGATTATAGAAGCAGCCCAAGTAATGAGTCCGGGCCGCACAGAGAACCGAGACAAGACATTCTCTGCGGCTGCATTCAGGCTCTTTGCCTTGCAAAGCACCGTGTCCTTGTTGTTCATTTCTTTACTTGGTGTCGGACCAGCCCCAGCCCTACTGGGAAGGAGATGCACGTTCTACTTTCGACTCTCTGCATAACGCGATGCCATGTCCTGGGCAGGCTCTTCTCTTCCCTAGGTTGAATCTCCCCAAGGAGAAAGGGTTGAAATCACCGCTGAGGTTCCCTGCAGGACCTCGTGCTGCACAGACCCCAGTTTGTGCGGAGCCCTCTGTTGAGGTGCCGGTTGGGTCTCTGAGGACTCTGGGTGGCCGGGCCGAGTGGGTGGGGCACATACGAGCGAGTGTGCTTTGTGCACTCCTGGACTCTGCAAATTGAGCAGAAACATCAGAATCGCTCCTCTATTTCCTAACCGATTTTCAGAATTCATTCATTTGAAATCTGGCTAAATCTACACTTAGTCTGATGATTTCCAGATCTCAAATAGAGAGAAAAAACTCATTAATCATTCATTTGGACCCCCATGGTTATACCGAATTTGTGACAATTTGTTTATCTCTGAAGGAGCTACTTAGAGTTTAAGAAGAAAATTACTGGGGTGGGGAGGAGAGTGTTTAACCTTTCGGAAGAGAGGCACTCCACTGAGCTTCCCCCTGGGTACAAGCGGGGCGTGTGCAAAGTACATGCCGCTCTTATCTGTCCCCCAGTAAGGCCGAGTGCTTCCTCATCTGCAAACTCAGGGCCAGCGGGCTAGGTCCCCAGTCATTTCCCCTGGAGCCCCCTTTCCCATGTCAAAATATTTTCCGTAACACCCCCACCCTCAGTTACTAGAAGGTGGATTTTTTAGCGTTGTTGATTGAGAAGAAAAGCTACTCTGAATTCCGTAAAGCTTTTAAATAAATCACGATAGCATCTACGCACGCATGAAGCATAGTGCTGTCTTTCTGAGTCACAGTGTTCCTTCAGTCTATAGACGGCGTTCGGGCACATATAAATTCCAGCTCCCCTTCGTCCCCCAAGGTCAGTGACCTACCAGGTCGGAGCCCTTGGATTAGAAGTTCTCTGAGGCTGGAGGACCTCAGAGTCCTGGAGTGCTAGGGCAGGAAGGAACCTCAGGGGTCATTCCGGCCACTCCCACTTGAAAGGTCCTCTGCGCTCTGTGCGGAGCCCTTTGTCAGTGAACCACAGGAGCTGCTGTTCCGTGTAGGCACGCTTGATGCCTGCCGCAGGCTGTCACCTCGGGGGCCTGGATCAAACTCCACAAGCTGCTTCCCTAAAGCCCCTTACCAGGTGTCTGAGCCTGTCCTCCCACAGCGAGAATGACGCAAGATGACTGCATTGCTCTGCGTGTAAGTGGCTGATACCCCACAGGAGGCAGGAGACGCAGGCTCCAGTCTTCTGGCGGCTTGCGTGGCCAGAGCCACCTGGCAGGGCTTTCTCGGCTCACCTCTCCCGGGGGCCACACCAGACACCTTTCTTCCCTTTCTCTGTGGCCAGAGGGAGTAGGGAAGGGAAGTGGATGGGCAAGGAACGTCACGGATGAGGGAGAAGGGAACGGGTGGAGGGTGTTACCTCTAAAGCAGTCCAGAGCTGGGGTCCGTGGGTCCAAGGATGGGCTCGGGGGCCTGAGGACAGCCTGAAATTATAGCCAGTCACCATCTGGGCGTTTTGCGGGGGAGAGAATCTATAACTTTCATTAGATTCTCAAAGCAGTCCCTGAGGCAGCAAACATTCAGAACCCCCGGCCCGGAATTCCGACTTTTCCCTGACTCGGGCTTCCCAGTCTCCTGTTACTCAGAGCTGGCGAGCTGTTACCGTGTTAGCCAAAGCCTGAAGTGTAAAATATCAAATGCTCACTACACGACGATGATGAAAACTTAGTCTGCTTAGCGAGTCATGCCAAACAGATGCCCGGAACATGGTCTGACTAAGACGCGGCCTCCTTTGTTCTCCCACGCAGGGCCCGGCATGGCGCTCCCCACGACACAGCTCGCTATCTTCTCCCTCCTGCAAGTCGCCCTAGCCCTGAATCCCGAGGACCCCAACGTGTGCAGCCACTGGGAGAGGTAAGTGTGAGACTCGCATGGCCAGGCACCCTGGGGGCGCAACCTGGGCATGGCGCGGCGGGGACAGAGGCAGACAGGAGATGCAGAAGCTGCCCACAAAGGGCCTGCCGGCCAGCTGGGGAGACCACCCCGACACCAAAAGCAGGACAGAGCAGGGCAGATTCTGTCTGAGACTCAGTGCTGGGTGGGGTCCAGGTGGAAGCAACTGACATGAACTACAGTGACAGCGCGCTGTCCTGACCCACCCCACTTTTGTGCTCCGAGCCATTGCACAGACGAGGGAGAGGCCCAGCGGGGCTCCGAGCCTGTCCACCGCCAGACGGGGTGCAGTGCGTGGGGGATGTGGACTGCGGTCCCGGGTGTCTTGCTCTCTGATGCTGTGATACCTTCCTGGTCTCCCAGGACTGGCAGCATGGATGTGTGGCCGGTAGCCTGCCCCGCAGAGGACGGGTGAGGGCCCTGCCGCTTCTAGTCCAGGAGGGGTAGGGGGTTGCCGGGGGGAAGGGTGGCCGAGGCCACAGCAGAAGAGCTGACTGCATTCTGGCTGCAGCACTAAGTCCTGGGGGAACAGGCTGGGTCCCTGCAGACGGCCTGACTTTGAAGCACAAGGTTAAAGTATTGATTTTGGTGAGCAGAAGATCAGTGACCAGAGACCCAATCAGGAAAAACCGAATTAAACCCTGGAATTGATTGGCCATGCTGACCAGGATGACTCTGCCACTTAGATGTTAATAAATCAAATGAATAAAATTAAAATGAGGGCCCAATGGGGGACGCGGATGGCGGAGGAGGAAAGGCGAGTTGGGTGATCCGTGCGCCGTGCCTGGGAGTGGCCCTGCTCCATGGCCGGGAAAGGCACCTCATCCAGGCAGGGCTGGGCTCTGGGGTAGCCTGGACGCTGTGGGCCAGGAGGGATGGGCTGGGAGGCAGAGGGATGACGTGTGATCCCCAGTGACCAGACGCGTGCTGTCCCGACGAAGTCGAGGCCAGAGCAGAAGGCAGCGTGGGGGTGCGCCCCTTTTCCGTGCAGTGGAAAGAGTGAGAGGTCTGTGATGAGAAGACCTCGGTTCACTCCAGTCTGGATTTCGCACCTGCCAGCTGCACGACTTCGGGGACATCTCGGAATTGCTCTGAGCCTCCTTCCACCTCTGTAAAGTGGGGAGAATAATTGTCCTTGCCTCACAGGCTCATTGGAGGATCAAGGGCACCAGTTTCCTGAAAGTGCTTTGAGGACCGTAAAGCTCAATGACTGCCTTTTCTTGTGGCCAACTCCGGCCTTTCGGGAACTGGGTATCGCAGACTTTCACACACATCACACTCACTGGGGTGTGTAGGAAAAACAGTCTCCTGGGGCCTGTCCCCGGAGATTCTGATTCAATACTGCATTTTTCATCCCCTTCGAGTTTGGATGAATTTAACCTTTTATTCCCTGGTGGGTCAGAGAGGTGTCAGGTAGAAATCCACGTAAGTCTCTAGTTCTCAGACACCAGCCTCAGAACCCCTTGCATCCGTCTGACCCCGTCGAGACATGGCTGCTTCCTGCTATTGTCTGAGCTGTACCTTAGCCCCAAGAATGCCTCCTTCCCATCTGCTCAGCTCTGCCTTCCCCAGGGGCTCTGTGCTGGGTCCCTGTCCTCCAGGGAGCCTCCCCCAATGGCAGGGCCCACTCTGACTTCTCTCTTCTTTGAGTCTCATGTGTACAAGGGGATCCATTCAATCTTAAACTCTCTGATTTCTTAAACCTTCCCAACATCAACAAATTTGGAATGTGAAAATATTCTGAACGGAGCATGGCTGATTGGGCTATGAGCCAAGGTCATACCCTGGATGGGAGGACAAGGAGTGAACCCAGCAGCTAAGATAAGGTCTGGGGACCCTCTGGGCTTCTCTAGCACCAGAGGGGTAAGCCTTGCAGGTAATGCCTGGTGACATCAGGGCCCTCCTTCTTCTCAGCCTTTTCAGCTGAGCTTCGCTGGAAGTTACACATGGATGCATCTAGCCTATGCCATTCCAGAAACACACCGCGGTCCCCAGAGACTGCTTAGGGAGACTTTCCCAGCTGGATTAGCACATCTGGCGGGCTCCTCGTTAATTACGCCCTTCCACCATAAAACGCAGTGTAAAGACCTCTCCTGGCTAGTAAAGCCTGGCTCTGCAAGATTAATCTGGCTCCTCATTAGCATGTTGGCAAATGAGCGGTGTTAAACCACCCAGCCGTGAAACCAGAGGCACACACTTCAGGTCGGAGGCTCGGGGTGGGCACAGGGTCCTGTTGCCAGCCTCCCTCAGCCCAGGGCACCCTGCAGAGCCCAGTCCGTCTCCCCTGACACCCTCCAACCCCCTCTGTTGGGCTGGGGCCTTTTCTCTGAGCATCCACTGTCCTTGTCAGTGCTGGAAGGGGACACTGAACCCCCAAGTGCTCAACGAAGGTGGAGAGTCCACTGTTACGCAGGTCGTACCCCTCCCCCGTCACGGTCGGGGAGGAAAGATCCCTCAGTGCCTAGCTTAGGAGGTGAATTGTTGCCTGTCAGCATCTATTAAACACTTACTGTGTACCTGTGAAGCATTTCCACGTACAGCATTTCCTTGTTTTGTGTTCCCACCACCCAGAGAGAGAGAGGCTGTTACCGCCCTCCTTTAATCTCACGGTAACCACATGAAGTCCTGGATAATAGTTGTCATAGATGTACGACGAGGGAATGGAGGCTTGTGAGAGTTAAATGACATGTCTAAGGCCGTGCGGCTAACAAGCGATGGGCTTCAAACTTGGCCCCCAGAGCCGGTGCACCGTCACCATTTGTTCTCCTGCCTCCCCGTGAGGCGCTCCGGAGACGTGTGGGAGCTCAGAGTCGTGCAGTTTCCTAGTTGGAAGAAGCCTGTGGGAAGCCAGGGTGGCCATTGAGCTGCCTCGGTTTCCCCAAGCTTGGAGATAAAGCAGGGCTTTTGCCGTGTCTGCGTAGACATGTGTCTCTGAGGCATATCTCGGGTAACGCCGAAGGCCTCCCTGATATGCTCCGTGCTTCAGAGAAACAGAATCTCCCACAACCCTGGGTCTCTGAGCATCGCTGACTGCTCCTGACCTACTCCGTCTGCATTCTAGACCTTTGACCTTTCAGGCATCAGAGAGCCTGCTGTGGACCCCCGGGGAGCTGGCCTGCCCAGGCCCTTGCAAGCTAACCAACTGTTTCCTCAGGCAAAGCGGATGGGCTTTTACAGCCTGGACCTGGCCATCTGGCCCGGTCGGTGAGCCTTCTGGGTAAAACACCGGGTAATACCAGCCCACATGGAAATGAATTCCTGAGATCTCAGCTGAGGTCCTCTCTGCAGCCTGCATAGGAAGTGCGGGTCCTCACTGGAGCATCCTGGCCTGAATGCCACTTTGCACAGCTCCCGCCAGGGGTGGGCAGGTGGAAAGGCCTGTCTGGGTTAAGCTGAGATCTGCTTCCCTGTGGCTTCCACTCGCTGGTCCAGGTTTACAGCCAGCAGGCCGGATGACAGAGACCGCTTCTAACAGGAGGTCTGGGGGCACGTCCTCAGTGCACCCCTAACTACACTAGCGGGGAATAGAGTAGAAGGTAACGGGGGGCGGGGGACCTTGGGGAAGTCACCTGTGCTCTCTGATGCTCAGTTTCTTCCTCTGCAAAGTGAGAACAATTCCACCTACCTAAGATTGTGTGAGGATTAAAATGGATTAAATAAACCCTTAACACTACTGGCAGTTGCTGATACCAGCTGTGTGGCCTGGGCAGGCCGCCTCTCTCTGCGCCTTAGCTTCTTCGTCTATAAAATGGGGCCACTCGCTTCATCTAGTTGCTCCAAAGATCAGCTTCCCTGCATGTTCTCTGAACACCGTGAAGATCTGAACAAACACAAAGTATTTTTAAACTCGTTGGCTCTGCCTTCCAGGGCCACACAAAACAAACCTAAACCCCCTTTTATTCATTCTATGTTGAATGAACAAATGAATGAAAGTTTCAGAAAATAAGTTGGGCCAAAGGTCAGGGATGTGTCCTGGGTCCAATCTGGGGTCGGGAGGTTCCAATGCTGAGGGCACCCAGGGCAGAAGGAGGAGAGTGGGGACGAGAGGTCAGGGCCCCGGGGTGCCCGGCTGGGCAGCCTGGCCTCGGCTCTGTGGCGCGGCCCCCCTGCGGAGGGAGGCTGCGTCCTGACTGTCAGCTCAGCCTCCCGGGTGCTGACCGTCGCTGGCATCTCTCGTCTGTTCTCAGCTACGCCGTGACTGTCCAGGAATCGTACGCACACCCCTTCGATCAGATCTACTACACACGGTGCACGGACATCCTCAACTGGTTCAAGTGCACCAGGCACCGGTGAGTTCCTCTCTCAGATGCGGGGCAGGGAAAAGGTGCTGGGCTCTCAGGCTTGGCTTCGTGCACGTTAGAAGTCCAGATGTTGTCAGGCACCTCGCATGTCCCCGTGGCACTCGCCCTCTACGCTGAACACCTGAGATGCTCTGCTGGCGGCTTCTTCCTGGCCAAAGGAGCTTGTGGGCAGGGCAGGCCGGAGTGCTGGAGAGTGAGTGAGCTGGAGGGCACCCCTCGGCCAGCGACGGGGGGATGGGGAGTTGGATAAATACCCCAGCTTCCTCACCCGTGGGGTGGAGGGGAAACTCTGCTCTTCACTGCATCTCAGGAGTTTCTGGTGGGCGGAACTGGAGTTGCCCACGCTAGTGTCCCGCTTGATGGCATACCCTGTACTGGCTGCCTTTACTGCCCCATCTCATCCCGCTCCCCTACCAGTGCTTCCGAGCATCACCTCTCAAATACACCGCTTTCCTTTGAGTCCTTGCCTCAGGGTCTGCTTCTAGGGAAAAACCCAACCCACGTCAGCCCCCCTCAGAGCAGAGGCAGCCCCATGCCAGGGCATCTGGCTTGGAGAACAGAGTTCAGGCTAGAATTCAGCAACCTCTCAGCACCTCCTTGGCCAGGTCACCCTCAGCAGTGCTCAACGTGAACAACTGCACATGGTAATCCTGCAGCCTTGTCTACAGTTCTCCTATAAATCATGACACATTCTCCTGTCACTAAGGGAGAGATGAGAGGAATGACCCTGAGCAAGTCACTTTATTTTGGGACTCCTAATGTATTCATCAAGTAGATAATAATCCTTGCTCTCCCTACCCTGCAGGGGCCAGTGAGGTCAGGAATGTGAAAACACTTTGAAAAGTGCAGGGGAAGATGGAGAAAAGTGTGAAGTATTAGACACGTGTGAGGTGATGTTATTATAATACCTGAGGGGTAGGAAACCAGCAGATGAAGGTGAATAAGGGAATGAGGGAGAGGCCACACGGTGTGCTCTTTTCCTAGTTGCTGAACATCTGTGTTGATTCAAGATTTCTCTTTTGCTTCCTCCTATGAGCCCAGTCCCTTTGGGGGGATCGTTCAGGAATCACGGCAGGCAGCAATGTGAATGGGGAACTTGCTCTGTGCTGAGAAGCCCAAGTCTTGGTTTTCTTTGAGATTTTGCTGCCAACTTGCTGTGAGACATTGAACACAGCTATACTAGATGCTTTAAAATCCTTGTCTGCTAATTCCAATACCTGGGTCATCTCTGAGTTGGTCTTCATTGATTGCCTTTTCTCTTGTATAGGAAGTATGCTGCTTTGTATGTCTAGTAATTTTGGATTGTATTCTGAGCATTATGAATGACATGCTGTAGAGACTAGATTCTGTTATGTTCCTCCACAGAGTATTGATCTGTTGTTTTTTGTTTCTTTCTTTTAGCATTCAGTTTACTTGGCTAAGCTCAAATTCCAAACTGTGAAAGTTCAGTGTTTTTAGCTTTAGCTAGACTGCTTGGAGTCTGACCTCCATACTTGTAATTCAGGGGCCAGAAGTTTGGCTGGAGATTTTACTAAGAATTTGGGACTCCTTCTTGGTGGCTCTCTCCTTTCTAAGATTTCCCTTTTCACTTGCTATCTTCCAAGTCCACCCTGGACTTGTCCTGTGGTTCTTCAAACCAGTAAAATGGTGTGTTTTCTATCTGAATTTTAGTTGCCGTGACTGTTATTGGGCTAAATTTTCCAGGGCTGTTGCCTTCTCCCAAATGTCTACCCCCTCCAATATCTACCTGTTGTTTTCTTCTCTCCAGTGCCTTTTTATATTCCCACCCAGATTTTATAGCTGTTATTTGCAGAGAGGTTTGTCCACTAGAAACTGCTGCATGCCTTTCCTCTAGCCTTTGACTGTGAAATGAGGAGGTAGGATCAAATTCTCCCTCCGCACCCTCCAGTTCTGCTAGAGTTGGCTGCCTGTGGCCCTGGTCAAAGGCAGAGGCAGAAATAGTAGTCCTGCTCCTTCCCTGAGCCCTGGAAAGCCAGGTGCAAGAGCCAGGTTTGCTCTGAAGTGTGGCTCTGTTGGGTACTCGGAGGCTAGAGCTGTCGTCCGTCACCTCTGGGGCTGGGTGAGTGAGTGGCTGCTTATTAAAATAGGCGGTATTCCTGGAACATCAATTATTTTGCTAAATTATTGAGTCGCCTTGCACCTTTCCTGATGACCCAGAGTGTGCATGCTGACAGCTGCGCCATCCGTCTGCGTCGGTGTGGAATGGCTTGTTTTAACTCAGCATCCTTCTCCTGAGAGCAGCCTGGCACCTGACCCTACCCTCTCCTGCTTCCCCCCTGCACGGGGAGCCAGCAAGGATGGGTGAATCAGAGCCATGGGTGGCGACTGTCTCCTGAGAGGCTTTAATGATACAGAGACCACCTCCCCTTCGGGAAGGCTTGTGGGTAATCCCATTTGGTGGGGAGAAAATGGCTGGATGACCTCTGAGTCAATCCGGAGCCATTCTTCATCCGGAGACTTATACAAGCCCTGAAACTGCCGGGAGCTGCCTTCCTGTGCTGGGGAAGCAGCTTCACTTGGAGGCCAGCTTACCTTCCATTATGGGCTTTTGACAAAGTAGAATGACCTTAACTTACGACATTCCCAAATATCACAGATTTCTCCAGAGTCCCATACTGTCATTTGTCATGAAGTGAGGGCTTTAAGGACCGAGAGGGTTGCCCCAGCCTGTGCTATAGGACTCCCTTCCCAAGCCGGCCTGACCCTCCAAGGAAAGCAGGCTGTAGGCATCTTGATGGCCAGACCCTGCTGCTCTGCTGCTGAGGAGGGGTCCACAGGGCAGGCTCCCCCTGGGTGCTGATGGGGATGTGGAACGAGCTCTGGCTTCTGGGCTCCGGGACTTGGGGTTGAGTCCGAGTTACATCCGTGACCATGTACAGGTCACGTCCTCTCTGTGGTCTCTGTGGCCACTCCACATCTCCTCCACTTTGACTCTGCATGTGAGGAGGGGGCTTTGCCTGTTAGCACCCCGTTTTGACTCCCTCCGAAGGACTCAGGCCTCACACCTTCCACACTTCCCTGTCTTACTCCTTCACTGTGGCCGTCTGTGAGGCCAGAAAGCCACCCTGTGAGCACTGGCACAGGGCAATAGGTCAAGTTAGAGTAAGCTTTGAAGTGAGCGGGAGCTAGGTTTGAATCCCGGCTCTGATTCTTACTAGCTGTGCTAGTCATTAACCTCTCTGAATCTTAGTTTTCTTGTCCATAAAACACAGGGTGGGGAGTTGGGGGTAACAAAATAAAATAAGAATAAAAATTCTAAAAGAGAAATAAAATAAATAAAATAAGGAGAGCATAATAATGGTACCTGCCTCTGGGAGTTCTTGGGAGAATGAGATGAGATTTCGCCTATAACCTCTCCGGCACAGGGCCAAGTCCAAACACTTATGTCATCGTAAAGACTAGAACCCAGGTGTCTGACCCTGAGTCCAGAGCATCTGTTGCCTTGTGAACCTCAGCTTCTTCCTCTGCAGAGCGAGGGCTCGGATGGCGCTCAGGGCTCCTGTCCTGGTGGTGTTATTTTTGGTGTGGGGAGATGAATTCACTCTCTGAGACTGAGCTGGAGTCAGAGGGCGCTTTCGCTGCCTCTGCCCAGTTCTGCAAGTGGACGGGCCAACGCCCAGGGGATGTGGGCAGTCTGGCTTGTTGGGGTGGGGATGGGGTGGGACAGAAACTCTCAGGGCTGACTCTTGTCCGGCTCACCCCATGGGCTCCTCCAGCCCAGAGTCTGGAGGTTCTAAGGAGCCAAGGAGAAGCTCCTGGGTGCCCTCCACAGTGTCACCCCAGAAAGTGTCTTCCGCAGCCCTTCCAGTTAGGAGAGACTGGGCGGAAGTCAGCAGTCTGGTAAACGCTGGTTGGTAACACATTCTGCATCACAGCAGCCCAGATCCCACCATTGATTTTTTTTGTTGTGTTCCTTCATATTCGAAGCCGCCATGCATTTTAAAGTAATTATTGAATGGCATCCTTGATATAGCTCAACACAAATATCATTCTAAATGGGAGTGATTGATTTTCAATACTTTCAAGTGGCTTTCTCCCTTGTGCCTTAGGATCAGCTATAAGACAGCGTATCGGCGAGGCCTCCGGACCATGTACCGCCGGAGGTCCCAGTGCTGCCCTGGCTACTACGAGAATGGAGACTTCTGCATACGTACGTAGAGGCTGCTGCGGTCCTGGCCTCCGTCGGGACTGGAGGGGAAGGAAGAAGAGGGGAGGGGAGGTAGGGCTGACATCCATGTCCCCTGGGCAGCAGCCTTCAGCCGAAGGGCTCCACAGGTCCCTGCCTGCGGCCAGTGCTCAGAAGGACTAATGGGATTTGTACAAGGGTTTGGCCATCAGATCAACCAACCTTCTTAGAGGGTAGATGGAAGTGGGTCAGTTCTAGGCCTTGATGGGGGTAGGGGAGGAGCGGACCCTTCTGCAGCGGACACTCTGAGGAGCACGGGGAAGGAGCACGGAGGACCTGGCACAGGCTAAGGCCATGGTAGGTGTTCAAGAAGGCTCTGTCGGATGGAGGGAGAGATGGATGGGTACGTGGATAGGGAGTTAGACGGATGGAAGTGGGAGAGGGAGGGAGGAAGGAAGGCTGGATCGTTGGGTGGCACCACCACAGTACCTAAGAGGAAGATGGCAAGGGTAGGACAGACCAGGAGGTGGGGGCATTTCCAGAACGCACTGGGGGCCACTAGAGAAGAGATGGTTGCATGAGAGACCAACATTACCCTTTCCCCCTTTTGTCTGCACTAGCTCAGAAAACTGAAGCCCAGTGTGCCCAGAAAGACGAGGGCTGGGTTGCCGGCAGCCACGGGCCCTCTGGGAGGGGCAGTGCCGTGCAGTGGGAGGCGCGCCTGAGCAGGAGCCTGCAGATCTTCCCAGCCACGTGGCTTTGGGAAAGTCACTTAACCTCTCTGGGACAATGACTGTAGGGCCCTGTCCGATTCTAAGGGACCCTTTCCCCAGTCACCTCCGACCAGTGAAATGGGGCCAGTGTGGGACTTTCCAGCAGGCATTGGAAGGTTCCCTCGACTGCAGGAGAGTGTCAGAGAAGCTGGGAGGCCCCTGCTTAATGACCGAGAAGAGAATCCACCCCCAGAGCTTCTGCTCTCTCATTTGGAGACTGATTTTCCTCGTCAGTATTCTCTTTGCCATCGGGCGGTGGAGTGAGCTAGCACCAGAGGGAAAATCAGGGCAGAGTGGGTGTGTTAACGTTGGGAACAAAATAACAATTTTCCCTACTGTTGTTACGTCCCCCCTAATGCTGGAGAAACTCAATTCTAATTGCATTATAGGAATGAATGAAAAATGCTCCCGCAAATGAGTTCAATAGTGATGGTTTTGCAGGAAAAAAAACCAAAGAAGTGCACCTAAAACAAATCCCCAAAGACTGTTCCTCAGAAACAGGGCAGAGGTCTGAGCTAGGACAAGGCGCCGGCCTCACCTGGGATGGGGTGACTACGGGGACTGGGAGGAGGAGAAAATCAGGACAAAGGCTGTACCACTGCTGCTCTGTCCGCACTGTGTGGAGCAGGAGTCAGGCCAGGGTTGGGGCTTGGGACTCATAAAGCCTCCGCAGGATGGATGTGAGTGGCCCGTCTGAGCTCAGGGCGCAGTGACGGGCTCAGGGAAATTTATGAAGAGTTTGGACGTCAGCATGGGGCTCCAGGAACAGGCGTGCACATTCCCTTTCCAATTTCCGTTTGTGGACGGCAGTAAAGCTCTTGGAAAATGAAGAGCAGGGCAGAAGTGCTAAGTGTCCTCATTGCACAGGGACTCGGTCTTGCTGACGGGGAAGGGCAGCTCGCAACCTTCTGACCTGCTCCTTATGTAACCTCACGGCCACTTGCCGAGCTGGCGGCCACAGGCCAGTCCACCGGGAAGCGAAGCTTGTTGAAAAGCTGGCACTGGAAGGCTTTTCCTAGAAGGGGACAGGAGAGTTCCAGCAGCGAGACAGGGCATGTGGCACCCTGGGTGCTGCTGGTGATGACAGAGGGTCGCGCGGGCCTGGGCTGGACCTCACTCTGCCACCGCCACCCTCTTCTTTGTCTTCATCGTCTTCTGAGCCCAGGCCGCACGGCAGGCACGTTCTGTTCACTCTGTACACACGGACACAGCTATTCCTCACAACCTGAGAGGCAGGTGCCCTTATTTCTTTCATTTCATAGATGGGGAAACTGAGTCACATAGAAATTAAGTAACTTGCCCAAACTCACACAGCTAGAAAGTGGCAGGACTTGGATTTGAACCTAGGCTGCCCGGCTCCAGAGTCTGTGCTCTTGGACTGCTTGGACGGGTGCCTCTCTCGTCACGGACCCAGGCAAGACGTTACCTCTCTGAACCTCAGTTTCCACTCATGAAAACTGGGGACAGTAACACCCACATCACCAGACACAGAGTAGGGGCTTAATAAATGTCAGTTCCTTCCTCCAGGGCATTGGTTCTCAATGTTTTTCAGGACTGGCTTTTATTTTAATTGCTCAAAGAGGTCCATAAACCCTCTCCCTGGGCAAATACACACTACATGTGTAAGCCTACAGACACACAAAGTCCTCTGCACACAGTTCAGTGGGCTCGTGGCTCCCTTGAAACCCGTGCGGGGGCGCATGGTAAATAATTTCCGCCACATGCTTGTGTTTATCGATTCAACATACATTCGTTGCTTCCTACTACGAAAGATGCAGGGAACGTAGATACAGATGATGGCTGGTGCAGCCCTCACGCAGCTTGCGATTCGGTACAGGAAGGGCACGCTAGAAAGGGGGTTCGAGCCAGTATTTATTAAATACTTTCTGTGGCCTACCCACAGTGCTGTGCTGCGGGCTGTGAGAGAAGTATTAGAAATAGCTCCTGGCCTTGTGGAATCGACGTTCTTGTTGGGAAGGCAAGACTAGTGCCCAGGAGAATCATTACCTAACAGCCCCGACACTCGTGCGAGAAAGACCAGACAAGGACAGATGAGCTCAGCGGGAGAGAAGGCTGCGACCTGCTCTGTGGGCTGCGCGCTGGACCTGGAGGGATGGAACGACATCGCTGGGGTGGGTGGGAGAGGGAACCCCGTCAGCAAGGACCTGGGGGTGGGCATCGAGCAGGCTGGCCTGACCGCGGCGGGCAGATCTGGGCTGGCTGGGTTAGGAGTTGTGTTGATTTCCTAGGGCCACAGGTTGGGTGGCTTCACCAGCAGGGGTCGTCTCACAGTTCTGGAGGTCAGAAGTCTGAGATCAAGGTGTCGAGGGGGTTACTTCCTTCTGAGGGTCGAGGGAAGGATCTGCCCCAGGCCTCTCTCCTGGCTCTTGGTGGTTTCTGGGCTAACGGCAGCGTGACTCCAATCTCCACGTGGTCCTCCCCCTGCGTGTGTCTTTTTTACATTTCCTTTTTTTAAGCACGTAAGGCATAGTCGGGTAGGGCCCCTCCAGTGATCTCGTTTTCACTTGATTACCTCTGTAAGACCCTGTCTGCAAACAAGGTCGTTCTCCGAGGTACCAGGGTTGGGACTTCAGCATATGGATTGTGGAGGGACACACAGTTCAACCCCTAACAGGCAGGCGTCGGAGTTACCAGCACCCTCTTGTTCCTGCTTACTGTGATGGCAGGAGGGGGGACCAGCCAGCCGCACACAGGCTTTGTCACCTGCCCATGAGAGGATGGAGACCTGAGGGTTGGGGAGCTGGGGAGAGGGAGGAGTGGTGGGAAGAGCGTGAAGAGTGGCGCTAGGGCACGGGGTGCCCGCCGGGAAGCTTGTAAGCTGGGGAGCATTCAGGAGCTGAGGCCCTGCAGCCCCCCACTTCCCCTCCCCATCCCTCAGGGGCCAGAGAACCTCCAGGTGCACAGAACCTGGTGAGAACCCACCCAATGCTGAGTCCTCAGGACCCTGCACGAGAACATCGCCTGTGCTCTGGGCTGGGGCAGGGGGCCGTTGTCTGCCCTCCAGAGCCACCTCCCTGCAGCCTTGTTTCTCCAGGCAGTAAGACAGTGGCCTGGGAGCGAGAGCCTTGGCTGACTCTGGCACTAACTTGCTGTGCAATCTTGGGCAACTTCCTTTGCCTCTCTGGACCAACTGTGACATGGGAGGGACCATGACTGTGCGTGGAAGGAGGAAGAGATGGAACAGTGAGCGACAGTGTCCTGGAAGGCGTAGAGCTTGACACAGATGCACAATGGAACTATTTTTCTCCTCTTTGTGCCATTTCCCCTGCTCAGAACTGCAGTTCTCATCTGGGAACCCTTCTGGTACCACCCAGAGTTCCCCACCCCTTCCTGCCCAACTCTTGCCCCTTCCCCTCCCGTTCTCTGCAGCTACAGCTGAGTCCTGGCCCACCTTGGTCATCAGGCAGCAAGTATTTCCTGAAGATCGCTGGGTACAAGTGTCCTTCCTTCCTTCCCTTCCTCCCTCCCCGCCTCCTCCCTCCTTTCAGGGGAGGGCTGGGCATCTTTTCTCCTGCAGATGGAGTTGGTTTTATGCCTTGGAGGAGCAGACTGTCACTTACACGGCAGGGTTTGAGGCATTCTGGGGAGCTCTCTTCTTTGGAAATGTTAGCCCTGTTGTGAGACCAGATGGGCCGGGGTATGCTGCAGCACCAGCCACCACCCAAATCCCCGTGGCTTGAAAACAATAAAGTTTTGTTTCTTGTTCATATTATGTGTCCGTCCTGGGTCAGCTGAGGCCTGCTCCGGTCAACCTCACCCCGGGACCTAGGCTGCTGGGCAGCAACTCTGTGGAATGTGCTGGCTACTGTGGCAGAGAGCAGAGGGCTCTGGCTAGTGTTGAAGGCAGAGGGCCAGAAACACTTAGTGAGCAGTATTAACGCTTTTCACCAGGCTCGTGCAGACGCCTCCGTACTCGCAATTCACAGTTCGTTCAAACGTATTATCACGTGCCTAATGACCTCACATGAGCGGGACTCTGTGCGCTCGACCCCAGGGGTCCTCAGGCTTGAGCACAGCCCCGAGGGCTTGTTGTGCTGCAGACGCCAGGGCCAGCCTCGGAGCCCCTGGTTCAGAAGACTTGGGGCGGGGCCCGAGAATTTGCATTTCTAACAGGTTCCCAGGTGATGCTGCTGCTGCTGGACTGGGAACCACACTTTGAGGACTGGGCCATGCTATGCTAAGGGACCACGGCCTCCGAATGAGTAAGTTGCACAGAGGCCCAGCAGGCTG